AAAACATTTAATATGTCAAATTCTTAAGCAATCGAAAAACTAAATAAATTTTGTATATAAATATATTTTTTAAGACATTTTTACTATTATTAATTCATAGAAAAAATGAATGAAAGATTTGAGTAAAATCTATAGGAGATTCTTTCTAGAGAATGTCAAACTGTATATAAGAACTTACTTCTAAAAGGATAAATTGAGTTAATAAAATAAAAAATTAGAGATTAGAAATAAATCAAACAATAATAAGATTAAGAATTAAGAGAAATAGAAAAGATATAAGTTATGCAAAATTTAAAAGAAGAATAATAAAAGTAGATTGAAGAAAAAGAGATCTAATTGATTAAATAAAAGAAAGAACTTCATCTTAGATTAGATGCATGTGAAGACTTATAATTTGAAATAGAACAATAATATGAACATCTTTAAATATAATAAGAAAATTAAAAAATATTAGATGAATCTATTAAAAGATTAATGGATTGTATTTAAAGGATTAAAAAACCAATAAAAAATTAGCAATATCATAATAGAGTTGCTACTTCTCATTCATTCGATGATCGTAATAATGGTTTTGGAATAATGGGTATGCTTAAGTCTAAAAATAATGTTGATGATTATATATAGAAAGTAGAAAAAATTAACACTTCTAGACTATTTGATCATTGATTTAAAAAACTATTATATTTGAGTATATTTAATTATCATTGTTTAATTTTGATTTTCCTTAAAATAATTAAAATATGGCTGAAGTCGATTATAATACTCTTGTTTAAGCAAGTCAATTATTATTTGATCACTCCTAACCATTCAATGATTAAAAAGCAGTTGCTCTTGATCTTGTCACTTCTGGTATGAGATCTAGTAATATTCAAATTGTAATTATTTAATATTATATCATTTTAGATCACTGCCTGTAATAAAATATGGGTTGATTTATAAAATGATTAATTCTTTTGGACAATGACCGACTAGGTCATTTTGTTATGCAAATAAAATCAAACTAAATTTTTAGCTTTGAAAGTACTTGAAGAACAAATTAAAACAAAATGGAATTTGATTCGTGAAGAATCTAGACAAGGTCTTAAAGGTTTTATTCTTAAATAACTATTACATTTTGGAGCAAAAGACTAACATGATTCAATTGAGGAATCTTTATTAAATTAAATAAACATGATTATAATATAAATTTTAAAACATGAGTGGAAGACAACATGGGTATCATTTATACCAGAAATTTGTGAATTAAGTAAAACAGATTAAAATTTATGTGAAAACAATTTAAAATTGCTTAGATTATTAAGGTAAATATTTAAATATTTTAAATTTTAGTTAAGAAATATTTGATTATTCTAAAAATTAATTAACAACCAATTAAATAGTTGAACTTAAAAGCAATCTTCATAAAGAATTTTAATTAATATTTGAACTTTGTTTCTTTTTGGTATAAACATTTGTAGAAAAACAAAATATTAAAATAACATTAATAAAATAAACATTAGAAACACTTTATACATATTTATCTTGGATACCTTTTGGATTTATATTTATGACATAATTATGTGAAATTCTTATATAATTATTTGATAATAATCATTTCAGAAATTTATCTATTAGATGTTTAACAGAAATTGTCATTCTTAAACTTGATTGTAATATATATTTTATAATTATTTTTTAGCTGATTAATAAAAGATGATTATTTAATAATAAAAGATTGGTATTATATTTGAAAAGATTTTAATAAAATTAAGATAAGTTTTTCCTTGTGATTTTGGATTTTTAGGAGAAAGATAAAGATTAAGAATAACAAGCAATACTTAATTATAATTTTTTGATGATTTTTGTGCTATTCTAACATAATTCTTTACAGGAATTCTTAGTTAACATTTAGATTGGTTAGAGAATGTTTCAAAAACAAATCCTAATGTTATTTAATTAGTTGATTATAGTTTATAATATCTAATAGGATTCTCTTAATTACCTTTAGAATAAAATTATAAAGTTTGTGCTGAATTCTGGTTTGATTTTACAAAGAGATTATTAGAATAACCAACTTAATTACCAAAAGGAAATTAAATTATTTTGAATCTTTATTCTAATGAAATGAATCCTCCTTCATTATAAAATAATAGTTATCCTAGAGTAATAATTTTATGAGTTTTTAATAATAGATTTTAGTTGAATTAAGAAAGATTGTTGTAAGTAAAATGGCTAAACCACAAGAAGTTTTAATTAGTATTGATGAAACTGGATAACCAATTAAGGAAGAATTATAAAATACAGAAAATAATGCTTTATATGATTTATTAAAAGACCTTTTAATTAATCTAGCAAAACTTAATTGGACAAGTACTAAAGAGATAATCACTTAAAAATTAGATAAATAGGTAAAATTACATTATTCTATCTTAAAACGCATTAATAATGGCGTGCTTGTAAATTTATTGAGATATTAAAAATGATCTCAATAAAATCAAAAAATAAAGTGTCTCATATCTATTTATTCATTTTATATTAATTTATTAATTTATTTTTAGATGGATGGATCTGAATGGTCATTTGATAATTTAAACAGCATATGTTGGGCAATAGGATCGATATCTGGATGTTTGCCAGAATAAGATGAAAAATAATTTTTAATTCACACAATTAAAAATTTACTTTCACTTTGTGAAGTTAAAAAAGGTAAAGAAAATAAAGCTGTTGTTGCTGCCAATATTATGTATGTTGTAGGATAATACCCAAAATTCTTAAGAACAAATTGGAATTTCTTAAAAACAGTTATTAAAAAGTTATTTGAGTTTATGAAAGAATCTTTCCCAGGAGTACAAGAGATGGCATGTAATACATTTTTAACAATAAGTTAAAAGTGTGGTAAAGAATTTGTAATAAGATAATAAATGTATTATTATTTCTATTAAAATTTAGTTAATCTGATTAATTAGAAAGAGAACCATATATTTGTGAATTAATAAGAAACATAAGAGAATAGGTTGCAATATTATAAGATTAATACAAATTAGTATATTATGAAAGTTTAAGTCATATGATAAAATTTGAAGAAGACTTAAACATTAGAATACAATTAGTAAATAGTTTAGTAAAACATTTAAATGATTAATTGATTCAATATACTTCTTCTAATAATTACATAGATCTCTTTAAAGATGAAAAAATCTAATAATTTTTCATCTAATATTTCAGAATCCTATAATAAATAGTTTAACCTACTGGATATGCATTTACTTAATCATTAATTTAACTATTACCTACTTATAATTAAATATATCTCTTTTATAGTCAGAGTATCTAATAATAAGTAATTGGATAAGGAATAGTAGTTATGGGTTGGTATACAGTTAAGAAATAGAGAGCTGTAAAAAAGGAAATCTTAAAATTATATGCAACCTATTTTTAACATAATGATCAAGAATTATTAAATAAGAATTATCAATTAAAGAATTCATTAGTAATTCCTATTTGTAATCTTCTTGAAGAATATTCGTAATCTATAAATGAATAAAAGGAACCAGAATTATTATTAACTTTTAAAGTAAATATATTATAATAAATATATAGTATATGCTTGAAAAATTCTTAACACCAATTGAAGATTTAGTTCCATTAATTTTGAAAGGATTGTTTGATGCTACTATTAGATTAATAAGTTAAGACTTCAATTCTTATCCAGATCATAGAATCAATTTCTTTGAATTTTTAAGATCTTGTGTTTAATATCATTTAGTGGCATTATTTAATATGCCATAAGATTAATTTAAATTAATGATAGATTGTATTGTTTGGGCATTCAAACATTAAGTACCTAATTTATAAGAATTGGGATTAGATGTTTTATACTATATATTATAAGTATTTATTTTTAAATATTTTTAAAGTAAGTCAATAGTGATGCAGTAGTTGCAAATCAATTTTATTCACTTTATCATTTAAGATTGTTAAAAGATATTTTGGAAATTTTGACTGATAATTTACATGCAAGTGGATTTAAACATTAAAGTCAAATATTAATGATATTATTCTAAGTTGCCTCTAATTAACAAATTACAACTAAATTATCTAATGAATAAGTTGGTTCAAACTTAGAATTTATATCTTAATATCTTGTGACATCCCTATATAATGCATTCCCTAATGTTAGTAAGTAATAAACTGAATTACACATTGCTAGAATGTTTTAGAATTTAAATAATGCACACAATTTTAGAGTAATATATATATATATATATTTATTAGTAAGAACTTAGTGATTACTTAATAAATTTAAAATAATTTTAAGAAAGTAATGATCATTTAAAGTAACCAGAAAATAAAGAAGATTTATTAACACCCAAGCCTTAATGAAATGACATTAAATATTATAAAATAAAATATATTTAATCTAATATTATAAAAAAATCATTCTTAATTTTTGTTTATTATTTACATATAATGCATTATAATAAAAAAATATAATCTCCTAATCTCCACTTTTATAATATATGCTATTCGTGTTTTGTAACATTATTTATATATACAAAATTCAATTAGATTCAAACTTAAAAAATATAGAAATCTAATATTTTATATTATTTAATAATTTGTAATCAATAACATTGAAAAAAATAAATCTTACATTAAAGATAAATAAATAAATTAAATTGTTATTTAAAAATATGATATTTAAATAATGATAACTTAATATTTTACTGGAAATTTATTTATATTTCAAGATTTTAAAGATATAAATAAATTGGTCCTTTAGTTACAATAACATTTAAATATTGTAGTCAATCTTTTGTATAAATCATAATAATAATAATCTATGAATATAATTGAATTTTTTGGCACAATACATTTATATTATTAATTCTATTAAAAAATGCTATTAGGATTAAAGATTGTTTACATCTTACCACGAATATTTAACTAAAATTTAAACTAATTGATGAATATATATTTAGTGATGAAAGCTGCTCTTACACTATTTGCAAATAACTTATATGAAAACGACTGATTATTAAAAATATTTAATTCTTCAGGAACTTTATAGTGTTCATTCTGATAGAATTAGTGAATAATTTAAGTAGAAAAAATAACAAAATGGAACTTAGTCCTTTTTATTTTGACAGGTTAATGATGTAAAATGTATTATTGAAGAAGATACTTATGTTTTCGTATAAGTATATATAAACAAAAATAATTAACTAGTTACGTAAGATGCTATTGATAATTTTGAGTACGTCTCCATAATTAATATCATCAGGTTAATATGGATGTGATCACTAATCAAGGTTAGAGAAGTAAAAGAGTATAATATCTTTTAAGGAGCAAAGACAACTAATTAAATTTCTACTTAAATGATTGTCATCATGAATATTCAATAGAATTGAGCATCAAAAGCAATTAAGTCCCTATAATATTATAGAAATTAAAGGAAGATTATAGTGGAATCGATCTAATTCATTTAGGATATATTCCCTACCCAATTGAAGATTGTGATCCAGATGCCCTATTATAAAAAGTATTATAAGAGATTCAAGAACAATAGTAAGTCTTAAAAATACTTAATAAGGATAAGAAAATATTCTTTACGCTTTACAAAGACGATTTATGATTAATTATTTATAAACACCAATTAGATTTTTAGAAATGTTAATATTTCTGAATATTATTCAAGTAGTTTTTGGCCTTCGATATTTACATTTGAATTTAGAAGCAGTATTCTCATATTGATATTTTATTTAGTAGTCTTTCATTCAGATTTTTTTCTACTAGATTTAAATTCCTATGATTATTATAAATAGTATTAAAACTGTTTACTTACTATAATTGTAATCTTCATTAAAAATTATTAACAGATGCTGTTATAAACCTAAATCAATAAAATTTTGATTTGTAAACTATTTATCTTAAAAATAATACTTGATATTTTAAACTACTTATATATAATAAAGAGAATTTACCATTTATAAATTCAAATTATGATAATAAATAATGTATAGTATCAAAATTTAAATCAATATACATCCATAAATTTAAAGTATTTTTATTTAACAGCAATTTTATAATTGAAAATTTAGAGTTATAATAGTTAATTGCATCATATTCATATTTATAGTTTTATAATATAAATTTTAGATTAAATATTCTTTGTTCTATTATTAAGAAGTTTGACTCTATACATATAACTTGATTTATAAACTGCTTAAATTATATCATATCTTTTAGCTTCTTCGTTAAAAATGATTTTAATTTATATATTGCAATTGAATATATATATTAAATTTAATAATTCTCTATTCAATTGTTATCCTTAAACACTTTATAGATTATAATAATATTCAGAATTAAATTAATCTAAAGTATATTACTATATGTAATAATGAGTGATTAATGCTAGATCCTTTTTAGTTTGTAAAATATATAAATAAAAATACCTTTCTTTTGGATTTAATTTAGGATATCTATATAATTTTATAATGATTTAAATAGATATGATAATTTTTAGATTTTAGGATATTGACAAATATGTTCTTCATTAATAAGAGTTTTAATTTTATATATATATTTTCCAAAATTAAAAATGATTTAATCTGAGGAGCAACAATGTAGTAATAATTCAATAGATACTCTTCAATAATATGCAAACTAACTTGAATAAGCTATTATTCAAAAGCAATAATCAATTGAAGCTTAGAGGATTAAATTTTTTGAAATAATAAAAAAGTAAAATTATAAAGTAGATTAGGATTTCATTTGATTTTGATGTACATAATATAGATCCTTAAGAAATTGAATCCTATTTAAAATCAATTGCTCTAATCCCAGAAGATTTTGATGAACCATTAATTAAAAAGAAGAATAAAAATAATATAATAAGAATAAAAATGGTTTAAGAATAACAACCTGTTTCAGAAGTACCATCCAAATAAAAAAGAAAATATACAAAGAAATAACCTTCAGAAGAAAAACAATAATAAAAAAGAAAGAGAAGAACAAAAAAGGAAATGGAAAATGCAAGAATGTAAGAATAAAAATAATAATGATTATAATATTTTATCATCATATATGTTTACCTATTATCTCTTTTAATTAATTATGTATTAAATATACATAAATTTTGTATAATTGAAATATATTATCATACATTAATATTAATAATATTATTATTATATATAATTCATATTCTCCTAGATTATATAACCTTAATAGCCTTTTTGACTAGTTCTAAAATTACTTATAAATTCAAGGATTTCAATTTATCCTCTGCTGCTTACTTATTCAATCCTAATCCTCCAATCATTGGTAAAATAGCATTTACTATTGCAGCAAAAGTACCTGGAATAGCAAATGCTTAGACTCCTATTAGTATGAATGCCAATACTATTATTAAGTATAATACTAAAACAATAAGTCCTTTTATTAATAAAGGTTTTGATATTCCTAAATATTCTAAACTTAATAACATAGTTTAAATTGAAATTTACTACATGATTTCTTTAAATTCATAGAAATCAATCATACAAGTTTAAATATTAACTTAATCTTTTTTAATGATTACTAAAACTTCTCTGAATTTATGTTCTGTAATTTCTATATTAATTCTTCTTAAAAATTCAATTACATCAATAGCTTTAACTGATCTTTAACCATTCTTATCTAAAACTCTAAACATATCTTCATATTATAATTCTCTATTATCATTTAATTTACTCATAACTGAATTCATATATTGCATAGTTCTAACTGTAGATGGATTTATTAATGAAGCCATTTTCTCTTTAATCAATTATTAAGGGGATTCCAAACCAACTTAAAAGTCTTTCATTAAACTTATTAATAGTTTACTGTTTGATTAAGATATTCTCATAACCTAAAAGAATTCTGATGTAACCTCATTGAATTTTTTCTATTTAATAGCTATAATAGCTTCAATACACTTTATTAAAGTTTATAAATCTTTCTCTTAATTTTTTCCAAACATTGGTTCTAAGACTGGCTTAATAGCTATTAATAATTCTTTTTCATTTATTTCCTTTTAATCCTCCATTTATTTAATCATTTTTTAAGCATTGGATGCAATTAAGAATAATTATGCTAATGGTATATTATCAAATTTATTTTTATATAATTCTTGATTATTAAAACAACCTGTTTAAATTTACTAAGGTAATTCTTTTAATTTTGAAATATCTTCAGTTTAATAAAATTGAATTATCATTTTTATAATTTCTCCAATATCTTTATAATTAGACAATAATGTGGATATTGCCTTAAAGAATTTATCACCTTTAATATCTTTTGGATCAGATAATCCACTAAACATAATAATAGTAGCTTCAATCACATCTTTTTATTCTTCTAAAGTTTTTACTTTTGTAATTTCCCTTATAAATAATTTTAAAATATTTTATTCTGGATCTTCATGAATTTTAATATTATGTAATAATTGAATTAAAGTTAAAATTAATACTTATTGAGGATTTGGAAGCCCTTAAATTTCAAATACTTCATTTTTAATAAAATTGACAAATGAATTTAAATCGCTTTCTTTATTTTATTAACACCAAGCCATAAGAGCCTTTTAATAAAAGCTTAAATTTTATTCAGTAATTGTATATTAAGAGCTATTATCTTAATTACTAAATTCATAAAAATTATTCAAAAGAAATTCAAAGTCTTTTGAAGATGTTTATTAAATATAATTTTTAGAGAATTCAGTGAATTAAGTAATTGGTTCTTTAATTTCTTAGATTGTTGATCCTAACCATATAATAGGATATAATAAGACATTCATAATTGCTATTTAATCGATATTGCTATTTGGATAATATGATAAATAAGAAATTGAGCTCAAAGAAACTAAAAGATTAGGATATTTTTAAAAGCCTTCTAAATTATGTCTCTATAGAATTTAATAAGCCTTAGATATTAATACATTGATATTTTTGGAATGATCTACTTCAATAATAGCTTTTGTAAATTCCCATGCACTCTAATTTTTTTCATCTTATAACACTTAAATCTAACTTTCAAATAATGCAAAGTTTGCATTTGATTTATCACCTTTAAATAATAATTAAAAAATAAATTGGATAACATAAACCAATTATGATTATTATTATTTATCAATTTTAAAAACTTTAATAAGAATTTCTATGAATCCACTATTTTAACTGTCTGTTAATACTTCAGTTTTACCTTCAAATACAAAATTTAAATATTGAATAATTTTTTGTAAACTAAGTTAAGGAATTATTTAGTTTTATTTCAAAAAAGTATTCATAATTGCTGTTTCAAGAATCTTTATTAAATTAATATTCATCTAAGATTTCAATAATTATTAGAATGTTTAAGATTAGATAATTTATTTTTTAATTTAAGGACTTCTAAATCCAAAATTTTTAAATTATAAAAGTAATTCAATAATAAAAGTTCTAGTCATACTTTCAGAAAGTAAATCAGTTTCTACACGTTTTTATTCTCTATTGAATGCTATTAATGAATACCATGCTTCAACATCACCTAGGAAACATCTAATCATTAATTTTAATGGTTATTTTATTATAGGTTGAATTTCATTGCAATTTTATATCAATTCATCAATACCTAAATTTAATTTTTCACTATTCTTATAATATTTATCTAAAATTTCTTAATTTAAATTTTCATATTAATCTCCTAATGAGTAATACAAATAACTAACAGGAACTTTTGTTGCTAACTCTGAAAATTTACCAGAAGCTTTTGAATTTTCTAATTCAACTCTAACCAACATTAACATTACTGCATCCATTATTTATTAATCATTTCCCCATGTTTTAGTAATAAAATCAGTATCCATAACTTTAGGATTATAAAATAAATCAACTAAAGGTTTTAATTCTTTTCTTTCTGTTTCGTTTAAATTTAATCCTAATAAAATATCAATTAAATGATTTAAATTTATTGGTAAATTTGATTTTATTCCTCTGAATTTAGGTTAAATTCTGTATTTCTAACCAGCCCCCATTATTCCTTATAAGAGTTATAAACTTGTTTCTTTAGGTTAATTTTGTTATTATTGTTTTTCTTTATTAATAGTTTCATTTTAAGAAACAGTATATTAACCAGCATAATACTACATTAATTATATCATAATTTATTGTAATTATTCAGATGATTAATCACTTTCTAATACTTCAATTTCACTTTATTTAAATATTTACTTTTTTATTAATTCAATTGATTTATCCCAATATTTAGACCTTATATATCCATATTGTGATATATTTAATTGAATTAATTTAGAAATCAAAATATATTGTAGTTCCATTTTCTATTATTCTGGTGATTTCTATTAATGTTGCTATTTAGATTAATCTTTTGTTAAACTTTTGCCTATTTCTTCAAAGTAATCCTTTTAATTATTTATTTGTGATTAACTATTGATATAGATCATTGGTATTGCTGGAATATTTTTGTTACTATTTTCTTTAAATAGTGCAGTCCAAAATTCATTGTAATTTTCAAATTCAGGTCTATTAACTACTTCTTCATTATATTCTGGTAAAATTCTATAAAATATCTTGCAATATTCATCATATTAATCATTAAAATTCTTTGAAAGTTCACCTAAACTATCTGATGTTTAAGTAGTGTAATTATATTTTTTATCTCTTATTTATAATAGAGGATCACTTATTCCAGGATATAAAATACCTTCTAATTTTACATAATCAATTTATTAATCGGAAGCTCTTAATTTTGTAGTATCAAATATTCCTAAACTTAATAATTTTACTAAGGCTGGTTTATTCAAATTAATAAGATTCTTGTTATCATAAAAATATAAATATCTCTCAAAAACAGTAAATGCCATGTTAATACAATATTAACCCTTTATATATTAAGCTATAGGTTTATCTTTTGTCTTTTTTATTTATCTCATTTACTTTAATGAATAAATTAGAACTAATGATGATAAAGGAAAGTAATATTAAACTTTTCCCTTTGCTTATTCTTTCAAAAAATTTTCAATTATGTTAAATTAATTTAAGTTCAAATTAATGGAAATTAGTATTCGATTCATTATTTCAGGTGTTAATTTTTCATGCTAAGAATTCTTTAAAGTTTCAAATTCTATTATTTTAATTAGAGTTATTGCATCATATCCAAATGAATTAAATTTCTCCATAAATTCTTTAATCACCTTTTAATTATTAGTTGATTCTGATTAAAGAAGTTACTATAAACATGTATTAGAATTATAATTTTCATTAAATATTGCACTTACTAATAATGGATTTATACCTGTTGCTACCTATAATAGACTAAAAGCTTCTTAAATATCTTAATCACTAGTTTATACTATATATAATAATGCTTTATCAACAGATTTTTAAGATAATTTCTAAAGAACATCTGATCTGTTTCTTATTTATTCTGGTTATTTATTTTTATACTAATCAAATTTATCATATTTCCCTATTCCTGCAATAGCTGCTGTAAATATAGCAGCTGGTTCTTATTAATCAAGTAATTAAATTCTATTTAATAAATATAAGAAATTAGTGGGTCTAGGATGAGAAAAGAAATGTAAAACTTCAAGTACATCTGGTAATCCAATATCAGTTTATTATCCCTAATTTTTCTTATTTTCTTTATCTTATTTAAATATTTCTAATCTTTAATCAGCCAAAGTATTATAATTATCTTATAATTATTTCCAAGATTCACCTTTGACTAATTATCTTTTAAAAGCGAATATTACTTTGAATAATTTTGATGCAGTAGGATTTTATTCTATTCTTAATTTAATAATTAATGGCTTAGAATCCATAGTACTAGATTCTAGAATATCTGATAAATCTATTAATGGAGATACATCTTTTATTCCAAATTTATTTTCAATTAAATCATTAATTTTTGGATCTTATAAAATTTTTGATTTTTATTCTGAAAATATAGCAGATACTAAAAATTATGCAAATTTTATTGCTTCCTCTTCAAAACGAAATATTTTCACTAAAATATCAAAATCTGGTTTTGTTGTCATCAAACTAAAAAATCCTTAAATTGCAGTTTAATTATGTTTATCTCCTTTTAAAACACTATCAAAATATATTTAAAGAAGATCCATAAAACAATCCAAATCTGAACTTATAAAATATTTTAATTATTAAGTAGCCAAAATTAATTTTTTAGTCTGATCATCGTTTTCTTAAATTGCATCTAATGTTACAAAACCTCGTACTATTGATAATACTTTTTTGAAAAACTTTCTAAATTGAACTTCCTAAATAAAATCACAATATTAAATTAAGAATGAAAGTACATTTTCATAATTCTTATCCATCATTCCAGATATAAAATTTTACAAATTACTTATTTATTGTGGATAGACCTTCTATAATTATTTTATTTCAGGTTTTGGATATAATAATTATAAAACATCCTTAATCGCTTAATCTCTTATAGTAGAATTTCTATTAAACATCATTTTAACAAAATTTTCAGAAAAATGAATTAAATCTTATAGATTTGAAATCTAAATTTAGTCTAATTGTTAATGTTTAACAACAGGTTCAAATAATATTTTTTATTGTTTTCTTCGATCATAATCTAATTTAATTCTATCTATTTCATATTTAATGAAATTAAATAAATCATTATATAATGATAAATTTATTGGTTGTTTAGTTTAAAATATTTAGTTTACATATAAATTTTATAATTTTTAAAATTGATAAGGTATTGTATTAGGAAATTAGAAAGATCCTATGTTTTATTCAACATCTATTATTTTTTAAAGTTCTATTTAAACCTTTTTAAGATCAATACTTTCATATGATTTTGGATTAAAATTAATGAAATATTTAAGTGCTTTTGATACACTGGCTGCATCTTTAAAAGTTACAAGAACCAACAAGTTTTTGAATGGCTCTACTTTTAATCCATTAAGTAAAGGAGAATTCAATGTATTATTAGATAGTATACTTTACTATTATTCCAAAATCATATAAAGATACTCTAATTTAAGATGTATCTAATTAGATAATTCTGCTAAGAAATTTGTTTTTGATTATTTATTTGATTTTTCATCTCTCTAAGATTTCTTTAGAAAAGTAAAAAATGTTATTTTTTCATTTTTATAGTAATTGACTAATTAATCTTCATTCTCATCAGATTATTCATTAACTTCTATTTATAATTTTGGATCATTATCCCAAATTTTATTTATCTAATCTTTGAATTTTGGTTCTTTATTCATTTTATTATAAAATGCTGTACCAAATAATTTTAATTTTGCCATAGCCAAATAAATCTTTTCTTTAGAATCTTCAAATTTTAAACTTTTATCTAATATTCTTTCTATTACTAAAAATCCATTAAAAACTCTAAACATTCCTTTTGATGAAAAGATAATATCTAAAAGTTTTTCAATTAATGGTTTATATACTACATCATTAGAACATAAAAATGACAAAATTTCTTCAAAGTTTGTTATAGAAAGCAATTCAAAAATAAATTTCACTTCACTAACTTTGCTATCAATTTATTTTGATGTTATTTTAATTAATTCATAATAGATAGCATCATGAAAAATAGTATTTTAAATTTCATTTCTTAAAATTAAAATTAATCCAATTACAGCATTTTCAGGAATTTAGAATGCTAAAGATATTAATTCTATGATATCTCTATTAACTAATTTATCTTTTCTTTATAAAATTTATAAAGCTGGTTTAGCAAAGATTTAATCAGTCCATGAACCATCCTGATTTTAAATAGGTTCATTATCAGAATTATTTTTATCTATAATACTTGAAGACCATAAAAACCTACTAGAGACATAGAGTACATCAAAAACTAATTCAAGAGACTTACCTTATATGTTAATTGGCAATTCTTATTTCCAATTCTTAGTACAAAGTTATAATGTAGAAAATCCTACATTTAATAAACCATAATTCTATTCTAATAATTTCTCAAAATATTCTTCATTTTCTTCATCTTATCCAGGATTAATTTATGCAAATAGTTTAACTAAATCAGATAGAGGTGGTTTATCATTTTTTAAAAATTTCATTGCAAATAATGTGAAAATTTCAAATTTAGTTTTGAGAATTTGATCCATATCTTTTAAGAAATATTTATCACATAATCTATTTATGACTCCTGCTTATTCAGTAGGAGTTAATTAGATATCTTTTTCTATATATAAAGATTATTATTTAGAATATAATAGTTAATATACTGCTGCTATATCTTAATCTATATTAAATAACTACAATAATTATTTTATTAATTCTTATTTTGATTCTTCAATATTAATATTTTCATTTAAAGATTGAGCATAATCAAATATCATTTCTAATGCTTACAAAGGAATTGGAGAAATAGCAACAAAGTCTTTAATATTTTCAAATAATTTTTTGACTTAAATTAATATATTTTTAGGAGTACTATCCATCATTAAATTAAAAAGAGACAGCATCACACTTTTTAATGCTTATTAACTTGCTCCTTTATCTTCTATTTATGTTTTTATCATAATACCATCAATAATAGCATCAAGTAAATATACACTAATAATTGGTAAATGAATTTATAATTCTTTTCTTTATTCTTCTGGAGTCTTTTTAGAGTAAACTCTGTTTAATTTAACAGATGTTTAATAAATCCATTTAACAATTCCAGCTGGAATTTTATTCTCACTTTAAATTTATATTTAATTTGCTAAAGGATCAATAATCTCATCAAATTTTACAAAATTAGCCTTAACTAATTATTCTGCAATAATTTCTGAAACATCAAATTAATCTTTTGCAATTTTTATGAATTTCTCACAAGCCTTTTAAATAAATTTATCTTTAATATGTTTAAAATTGATTTAATCTTAATTTAAATCAATAGAACCAGCATTATCTAACATTCCTTAAGTTAAAATACATAATTCGTTTAATTCTTCACCAAATCCTAAATTTTCAGCCATTATTTTAGCTTAATCCATATTAGTTGAATTAATGATAGATGTTGATAAATCTGATAATTTTTAAACTTCCTTAATTATTGTTCCAGCCAATTAACTAAAAGTTCTCAAATATATATCATGAATCATTTTCTTTATTTCATTACATGCATATTCATAAGTTGCTTTGATTTATTAAATTTAAGCAGCAATAAATGCAACTAATGATAAGGCTGATGATGAATAAACAAGATAAAAATTAGGATTAATTATGGACCCTAATATAAGCCAAACTATAATTAATCCAAAATAAAAGAATACACTAAATGCCAATATTAAGAATTGTATCCATTAAAACCAATTATAATATTTCATAATTTTATTCTAGTAAAACTTAAACTCCCACATATAGCCTACTTCATCTGGAAAATATGAAAATAAATATTTAAAAGTCTAAAACATAAATGCACTTAATGCATAATATCCTAATAATGCACCCAAAACCAAAACCCAAAAATCTAATATATCTAAGTAATCAGCTATAGTCCAAGGCCTAATTAAAGCATCATTAATAAAAATTAAATTTTTAGGATCATAAATAGAAAAAGGTGAGTATGATGTATTTATTATAACAATAAAGTATAGTAATGGAATTATTGTAATTGCTGTTACTAAAAAGTTACCTAACACTACAGATAGATCTGATAAAATCCATCCATTCATATAAATAGCATCAAAATAATCCATTAAAATATTTTATTCATGATCTTCTCTATATGTATATTCTCTATTAAAGAGTCTTGTTTTATAATTAAAAACTAGACTTTGAATAAACATGAAAAATTGATTATAATAAAATGAACTAGTATTTTAGAGTTTAGATGTAATTGATTAAATTGGATTTTATTAAAACTTATTAATTTCAACATTTCTTCTTAATAAGAATACAGGTTATTCAATATAATAATCTTCAACAAAAGGAAGATAATGAGTACATTTGCCTAAAACTCTAACATACCATGATTATCTTTATTATGTTGTAGTTTTAACTTTTCTCAATTCAAATGCTTTAATATCTGAAATTAAGAGACCATAATCATTTGATAAATCTTTAACATTAAATTGCTCTACCCTTAAAGTTTTACCACAAAATTTAATGTAAGCTTTTTCTAATTTATCAGATGGTATGATATCTGCTGGAATTCCTGTTAATAAGCATTAAGTGGCCATAAAAAGTTCTAATGAATTTCCAGATGTTTTTTCCTCATCACTCAATTCTTAATAAGATTTAGCATTAGGATTCAATTTGATTTTTGATAATATTAATACATCATCTTTTTCTGCAAATTAAAAACCATATTATTCTAATAATTATTCTTATTAAGTTAAAGGTTCAATAGTTAACTTATTAAGATAACAAAACTATTCATATTGTTCTTTAACCTCTTCTTCATCAATACGTAAAAATGATTTATCCAAAGTTCGCTAATAATATTATTCTGTTTGTTTTTTATTACTCTTTTTGAACAGTATTTTACAAAACATTTTTGGAGCACTCTTAAATTATTATTAAGAGAAAACATAAAAAATATAAGATAATACTCCTAATAATATTGGAGGATCCTTTTTAGAAGCAAGTTAATCTAATTTCCTTATCATTTTTTTAGCTATTTCTGATAACTAATCTTTTTTAGTTTAATTTGTTGTATTACTATAATTTTAAAATTATGATGAAGTTTCTAAAACATAAGTTTCTAATCCTTGTAATGATACTATAAGTAAAAATAAACAAACTAAGGCAAATATTAATGAGGATAATAAAGACAAACCAATAGCTGCTAAAAAAAACATATTATATTCTAATGGTTAATAAACAACATTGTTAGCAAAATTTTCAAGGGTTGACCAATTTTCAAATTTTCCTCTTTCTTTTTTATATAAAGGTTCAAAACCAGGATAAGTCAGATCTTCATTTAAAGTTTCATTTTATTTAATAAAATTATCTTTTTCTATAAATATAGCTTATCCATAAGTTGTATTAAATGTTCTTTAAATTAATTCTTAAATTTTTAATGTTTATCTAGCATTTAAAGCTGGATTCCATGGACAAAATCCTATTTCTAAACTGACTTATAAATGTTAAAATTAAGGATTTAAGAAAGTTCCTGAAAATGCTGACAACCACCATGGTTAAAAAGCTGCATATGATGGATTACTGAAAAAGGTCCAATATGTGCTGTAAGTGTGTTAAAGCAAATAATGACCACCTACATCAAGTCTTACTGCAATGTCAGCAGATCCACTTTTATTCATAAATTTTTATATTTTTAGTAGAGATTCTTAATTAAAATTAATTTCTTCACTATCAAAAGATATCCATTCAAAATAATTAATCGTTTCAATTAATGGTTTTCCGATATCTTATAAAATATTTGCATATATTGTGCTTGAATTACCAATTATCCTTATATTTTATTCTAAATCGCAGGATTCTTCTTCACATATTCCAATTAAACCTTCACAAGTCTACTTATTTGAATCCTTCTCATTTGGTCCTTAATAACAGAATTATTCATCACTATTTAGAACTGTATATCCTGCTGCACAAACAGCTTATGATTGTGTTGAATAATTTAAATAGTATGATTTTGTTGATTAGACAATTATATCACCACTAAGTAATTTAATATAAGCTTGAGGAATTAAGAAATGATTCAAAAACAAATTACCTGATGATTCTGATTCAAATATAAAATTATTTGTTTAAATATTTCTAATATTAATCTGCATTCTTGCTTTAGGTTCTGATGTAGCATTAATCTAAGTATTTACTACTAATTCCTCTAATCCAAATGCCATAACACATTCTGATTCAAATTTACAAAGAATATTTAAATTTTCAATATTTTTTGGTAGTTTCAAATCTATTATGCATGTTGTTAACTAATTCATATGAAAATATTGATACATCAGTAAAAGGATCATAAAATGTTAAATTAGCCACACCTGTGTCTAAGATTTCTCCCTTAATTCTAAATTCATCCGATTTATTCACTTAATTCATAAGGCTTCCTTTAGCTTTAAATGAAAACTAATATTTAATTTTTGTAATTTTACTTATAAATAGTCATCAGATTGACTCACATTCACAAAACAATTACCAACAAATATATCAATATTTGGTGTTTCTATATCAGCACTCCAAGTTGAATTTTTCACTGTTACAAAATATCCCAAAGCAAATAGTCCTACTACAATTGCAATAAACAAAAATTAAAGTATTATTCTAGTCAATCTCCTCAGTAAAATCATTCCAGAATATAAACTAAAATATTAATCATTTCATACCTTTCTAAGCGTCTCTCATTCTTATATTTTTCTGAACTTGTATTTTCACTTGATTTTTATTGTTGGAATTAAACCATCCATTAGTTGATTTTTTCTTTCCTTCCTTACAATTTTTCTTTAATTTTTTAATCATCACTCTTTTATTATCAATAATTATCTTACTTTATTATCATAACTATCTATTATAGTTTATTCATTTCCCATCTCTTCTTCACGTCTAATTGATAATTCTTGAGAATGCAAATTTTATTATTCTTCTCCTTCAAACCCTGGATAGACTTTACTTGATTATATGGGAGTCCACTTTTATTCTTTAGTAATCATATGTAATTTTTTAATGTTTAAAATATATCTTGAAGTGCTATTACTTTTAAACTCAAAATTATAAAGAGTTACAAAATAATGCAATATTTAAATTTTTTTTTTAATTAAATTTTATTAATGTAACTTTTTTAATAAATAAATGAATAATTAATCTATTTTATAATATTTAAAAACTAAAATTTATTACTTAGCATGTTGTGCTTATATTTTAAAACAGGCAAAGTTTAAAATGAGAAATGCTCTTAAATAATTGATGCAAAAAAAGAATAAATTACATTTTTTTTCTTTTTCCATATAACATATAAATTTCATCTAAAAAATTATAATTGGTTCAATAAAAATTTTCAATTGAATTTTCCCTCAATTAAGTTATCTTTTTGAATAACTATAAACAGTTCTCTTACAAATCAATAGAGTTTAACAAATGATCAAAAAGCTGCCATCTAAAATCTACAAGGAACTTCTGTTCATACAACCATTATTTGTTGATAAAAATTAATACCCTTTTTATTTATATACAAACTTTTACTAACTTTGCTTTTTCAAATTGTAGTATTTTAATATGTTCTTCAAATCTAACAACATTAATTTCCATTTTTTCTTAATGAAAATGATTGAATTATTCATTTACACAAAAACCTTAATTCTTATAATACCAATTATGTAGTTATTCAAATCTCTCCTTAATCTTTTATTATTAATAAATCAAAAAAATTCAATTTAAGTATTTTTTATACTAGTTAACTATTGATTATATCAAGATAATAAAAGCCCTATTATATGTAATCTATAATTTTTACATTTTTTGATAATGTCCCAACCAGGAATTTCATTTAATAGAATCATTAAATAAAACCTAAAATGGCAAAGTCCTTTCCAAAAAAAGTAAATATATCAATTACAAATAAATATTTTTAAAAGATTTACCTATTTTATATTAAAATTTTCAACGACATCATTAAATTTTACTTCAAATTATTATTTATATTAAGAGTAAAGGCACTCTTCATAAATATATATTTTGCAAACTTAATTTCTATATCGATTCATAGATGCTCTATTTTTTATAATAACTTTTATACACATTTATTAAATATACATAAATAAATTACATAATTAGTCAATAATTATTAGTTTAAATAAAATTAAAATGCTACAATTTGATTAAGAGAAGCCTATTGGAAATTTATATAAAATTACTACTAAGCTTGGAAGTGGTTCATTTGGTGAAGTTTTCAAAGGAATAAACATAGAAACTAATGAGATTGTAGCAATTAAATGGGTAAAATTTGAATTTGATTAACCTTATTTAGGAAAGTTAAGAAGCCCAAATGCCTCAAATTAAACATGAATTTTCAATATTATCTGAAATTTAAGGAAATGGTATATTTATTTACTTTTTTTAGGTATTCCAAAAGTATATTGGTTTGGATAATGGGAAGATAAAACTGTGATGGTTATGGAATTGTTGGGTTACAATTTAGAATAACTCTTTAATTTAGTTAATCGAAAATTCGAATTAAAGACTATGTTAATGCTTATTGATTAAATGGTATTCTAATGAAAAGATCTATTAGTTTTTAGTTAGATATTATATCTCTTCTGCATTCAAAAGGATATTTATATCGTGATATCAAGCCTGAAAATTTCTTAATGGGAATGAATAAAAAATATAACACAATTTACATAATTGATTTTGGTTTATCAAAAAAATATAAAGACAAAAAGACAGGGGAACACATTCCCTACAAAGAAAATAAAGGATTAATTGGAACAGCTAGATATGTCAGTGTGAATACACACCTTGGAATAGGTATTTTATTTAATTAAAAGCAAGAATAAAGCAGAAGAGATGATATGGAATCTTTGGGATATTTATGGTTGTATTTTCTAAAGGGATCTTTACCTTGGCAAGGATTAGATGTAAAAAATAGGGAGGAAAAGTATGAATTGATAAAAACAATCAAATAAACCATTACAATTGAAGATTTATGTAATGGACTGCCAAATGAATTTTTAAAGTACTTTCAACATTGTAGATCGCTTAAATTTGATGAAGAACCGGATTATAAGAGGTTTAAAATGTTATTTAGGGATTTATTCTTTAAATTAGATTTTATATGGGATTATCTATTCAATTGGATTGAATAACTTTAATAAGAATAAATTTAATCTAATATTCATACAAAAAATAGCAAGAACTCTTTATCAAGTCTTAAAGAAGGAAGTATTAAATTCTCAAATATTCAGGTTTAAATCTGAAGACAGATGAAGAAGATGAGATCTAAGAAAAAATTCAATTCAAAATTGGAGGTGATTCTTCGACTAATTTAAAAAACGTTAAACCAATTATAAATATAGATAAGCTCATTAGCAAACCAAATTTATTTGAAAGTATTTTCAAATGATTATAATATATCAATGAAAATTACATGTTATAAATAACTAATTAATAAATTAAGAATAAAATTCTTTAATTTTTTTTATTAAAATTAATACACTCAAATGGATGAGGTTTATTATATTGAAACATAGTTAGTCTGATTAAATCCATTATTAATTATTTAATTAGTCTCTTAATTACTTTATTTGTTATTCTATTGACTTAGCTAGTCATAATTTAAAAATATACATTTAATTCTTATCGTAATTTATTCAAATCAAATTTTAATTATTTCACTTCATCTTTTAGCTTAGTATTTTCATTTTCTAGCTGAACCATTTTATATTCTTTTTGATTTACTTAGTTATTATAGGCTGTTTATATTTATTTATGAGCTTAATTTTATATCAATTGAATTTTATCATTCAATATCCCTATTTCTATTTGAAGATTCTAAATTTTTTAATCTTTCTATTTAATAAGTTCTTAATATACTTATTTATTTTACATAATATCTATTATAAAAATTAATAAATCAAGAATCTATTAAAATCAGATTTGCTTATTCAAATAAAATTCTATAAAGCTTTTTAGTATAATTTTCTGTCATATATTACTAAAATGTTACTCAAAATGATATTTAAAGCTAATTACAAAGTTAATTTAAATTTAGTATTCATAGCAATACGGATAATTATAAATATTTTAATGCTTTAATATTTAAAATATAAACTTAAATTTTTTTCGATTGTTTAAGAAAATACAAAATTATAATGCCAATTTTAGAATAAATATTTTACAAGATTAAGTGTTTATAAATTTGAAATTTTATATTAATAAACTTCATTATTTTTTTTAACTCTGTTAAATATTATTTTTATTATTTAATTATTTCTTTTGTTAATATTTATTATTTTGATAATTTTATGTCTGAGGTCTATTATAATTAGAAGTTTGATAAAATCCAGGATTATTCAATTATTATTATTATTATTATTATTATTATTATTATTATTATTATTATTATTATTATTATTATTATTATTATTATTATTATTCTTATTCTTATTGAAAGGGTTATTATTTTAGTTGTTGCTAATTCCAAAATGTAGGTTAGGCTATAATTATAGTAAAATATACCAACTCCATACCAAGGACTTTAGTAATAATATGCACATTATTAATAATATTGATTTTGAAACTATTATTATTTTCTTCTTTAATAAGAAGCTACAGAGAAAGTGAATGGCATAGATTCAAAGACACTAATATATTCTTAAAATAAAATAGCAAAATTTGGATTGGAATCTCTTTCATTCCTCTTCCTTTTCTATGAAATTAGTAATTAATAAATACTTCTGAATTATCTAATTCCTTAAAAGACTTCAACATACAGCTATTTTAGGGTTATTTTGAGAAAGCAGAATAGATTAAATCACCATTTTCAATTTAAGTACAATCAATTAATTCATGAATACATTTTCCACTTGATTATTAAATTGAACTTAATTCATTATATGGTAAATCTCTTACAAAAACCTTTTGTTTAAAAGATTATTACCCATTCAATTTGAAAAGACCCAAACCATTTATTTTCCTCAGCCCAATACATAAAATGCATATTTTCTCTAAAATTGCTGACAATTTTAGCCAATCCAATAAAATGTGATGTTTGAGTAACATTAAATAATAGATAAACTGGACGAGATGCATCATTTAATTTCTAATTATTACGACTCGAACTAACAAATTTATTGCATATCTACCTAGTCCAAATGCCGTATTTAATAGCACGGTGAACATTATCTTTAGTTGGAGCACGTATCAAAAAGTAAGTTGCTCCTTCTTCAAGTGGTTATTAAATTTTTTGAAGACATTTAAATGTTTTAGTTATTTCTTCAAAATTTTCATAATTATCTAAATATTATGCTTCTGGCTATGGACATATAGGATTTGTTTGCATATAAATATTTATTTATTTAATTATTAATTAATGGATGTATATTTATCATATATTTACTTTAGACTGTTTCAGATATCAATCCAAGACCATTCCTTGAAGAAATCACAAGAAAACAAATCATAGTCAGATTAAAATGGGGATGGGAATTAAGAGGTAATAATAATTATTTAATCTAGGGGTTTTAAAAAGCTCAGACTAATATATGAACTTACATGTAATTTTATTTCTATAATTCTATAGATGCTGAATACAGAAGAGTACGTTGATGGAAAAAGCAGAGGAATTTTAGGAGAAGTATTGGTAAGATGTAATAATGTTTTGTACATCAGACAATGTCCTGACGAAAAATGATCTTAAATTCATATATAAATGCATTAAATTTTAGACATCTAAACAAATAAAGTATTATAAGATTTAGAAATGAGTTTAATTAATACTGAGTAATTTTACAAATATTTGGAAAAAATTTGGTATTAAGTAGTATTTACTGATGATTGTTATTAAAATTAATGAGGAAAAATTTATCAGTATAGAAAAAAGGAAATTGATATGTTTCTTGGAGCAAAAATCTTAAAAATCAGATATTTATATACAAGGGATCTATTGGCAAATTATGGCTTAAGGGGATTCATACTATGCAAAATTAAAACAAAGAATTTCTAATTAAAGTTTATTATCATCTAAATCTGAAAGAAAAATTATTTCTTGAGCCTAAATGTGAAGATTTCAGATTATGATGAGATCAAATTCTTTCATTTTCTTTTCAGCTCTTTTAATGAACTTTTCTCAAATTTTTTAATATAAAGAAATATTTCCGAACTGAGATCATCTTATTATGTTTTAATCTTGTGCTAATCTTTTAAATTAAATAAAGTTGATTCTTAACTAATATTCAAATACTCTGGATTTTAAAGATTTTAAAAGCATCAAATAAATAATATCTAATGCTTATCTATTTAAGTTTTATGTATATATTAGCTCAAATAAATATTGGATCATTTTCAGAAGATTAATAGAATATATAAAAATACCAATTAGATTGAAAATTATATTTATAATAAAATAATTTATAAATAATATTAAATGAATTATTCAATCACAATCCTATATTAGGCATTGACAACCAGTTCAGGAAAAGTATTTTTAATTGAAGAGAAAAGCTATAATACTTCAATCAAATACTATGCATTTTAATTTTAGTAAAAAGAGATTATTGAAAAATCATTAATTCAATAAACAAAAATTCTTTAAAAATCAAAATATTAGCATTTATTTAGAAAATATTAAAAGATGCTTTTAAAGAATTAATAAATTGAATAAGAATTATATTTATTTGATTATCATGAAGGAAGTTAATTTTTAGATTAAAAAGTGTTGGATTATGGAAAAAATAAAAAATCTTTTGAATATCCAGAAATTAATTAATATATTAAATAATTGCTATTAGCCTTATATGAATTACATAAAAATTAGATACCTGGAAGAGTTTTTTCAGTTTATAATATATTAGTTATTTAACCAAATGATAGGCTTGTTTTAATGGATTTTGGATTTGAACCAGATATTTAATAAGATTAATTAGATATATTGGCACCACCTGAATATTTAGAAGAAATAATTAATTAAAGTATTATTTTTATATATTTAAGAATAAAAAAATAATTAGTTTGATTTAAAATTTGATTCTTGGTTAGTTGGAGCATTTTTGTATCATTTAATAAAATTCAAATCAATAAATTAGATTGAAGTAAGTAAAAATACTTATGAACGATTTAAATATGATAAAAAAGAAAAATTTTATGAATATTTATCAAAGATTTAGTTTATTCCTTGTTAGACTTAAAGATACAAAGAATCTTTACTCTCTTTTGTCTAATCTTTACTTACTTGTGATCCAAACAAAAGATTATCATTTTATGAAATTTATCAACATAAATACATTTAAGAACTTAATATTGAAGGAGTATATTAATGTATTGAATTTTATAAGAAATTTGAATAGATTAAAGATCTATTAAATGATGTAATTATAACAAAAGATTTTAAAAATGATGTATTTGACACTAATGATTTTGGTCCGGTTTCTTCAAATTTGCACCCATCAGAAGCCAAATCTTTGGAGTTTCCAAAAAACCTTGAAATGATATATACTGAAGAAGCAAAACCAAAATAACAAATACAAATAATACCAAAAATTATTGATTAGATAAGTAACACAAATTGTCCTGATTATTTGAATATTATTATGAACAAACCTTAATTTTCAAACCCAAGATTTTAAGACTATTGGCTATAAATTTAATTAGATTGTTTGAGATGCTATATATTAGCAAATACAGTTGATAGAATTTAAACAGTTTTTAAAAAATACAAACATCCCTTTGATAAGTTATTTGCATATATTATTAAAAAAATGCATTATCTTATTTTAAGGGAATTTAATAATTATTTGAAATCAGATTTTTTTTAAAATAAATCAGATCAAAATTGGTCAACCTTTAAGGAGCAACATAAAAAAGATTTATTCAAATCTGATCTAATTAACTCATATTTGGAAAAATTAGTAACTGAATTAATAAAGGATTTTTAATAGATAAAATTAGATTAAGATCCTCCACTTCCTGAAATAATAAAGAAATCATTAAAAGATGATAAAGATCAAAATTATAATATGATTTATAATTCATTGGAATTCTATTTGAATGGTTATTCAGAGGCTCTTTAAACACTTTTCTAATTTATAAATTCATAAACTATTTAAAATCAAGAATAATCAGATGAATTAAATTAATTTAAAAAATTAGTTTATTTTTGTGTAGATATCAATATTTCTTTTCAACCTCAACATTTTTAAGAATAATTTAAAGGGCTTGCATCATAAAATCAAAAAGTGTAACCAAGAGATATTATTAATTTTCTTGAAATTAAGTATATAATTAGATGAAATGATATCAATAAATTTATAAAAATAAAAATATAAATAATTATTGTATTTTAATAAAATATAATCTAAATATACACAATACTTTTTAATTTTATAATCTTAATCAAGAAATAAAAGTTATTATGAATTTATTGTTGACTGATTATATAATTTCAAAAAAAGTATAAATATAAAAATAAATTATGCAATTAAAAATCTTATAAAACAATCAGAATGAACCAAAAAGAATTAAAAATTTGATAAATTTATCATTAGATAAGATTTTAATAGATCTCATTATAAAATTTTTTATCAAATAAATTAAGGAATCTGTTTATTCAAAAATGATAAAAAAATTACAATTCGAATTGAAATATTGAAAATTAATCTCAATTATCTTTTTTCTAATTAGACAAAAAGTGAAATTAAATAGATTATTTTTTTCTTTGTCTCAATTTAAATATATTTTTTTCGTTTCACAAAATAGCAATGTCTTAATCAAAATGATTAAATTTCTCTTCAATATTTTATTTTTGAATTTACAATAATTTTTTCAGATTTTCTTGAATGATCTTCATTTATCAGTAAGGGATTTTATATATAATTTTTAATGATTGTCATATATAATTAAGTTAATCTTAATTTTTTTAATTTATAAGAAGATTCCAATTTTTCTGGTGTTAATAGTAGTTTTAAAAACATGATATAATGAGAAAGAATAAATCTATAACAGTTTTTTAATATGTCTTACAGGAAACAAAATGAAATAATCTTTCTTAAATTTACATGTTACTACGATTATTAAATAATTAATATTAATTGATTTTGTTAGATTATATTTGCATTAAATAAAATCTTTATTATAAAATTTGATTAAGTTTAAAATAGATAAATAATATATTGAGGATTTAGCAAATAAATCTATTATCATATAAATTTTCATTAATGTACCTCAGGAAGAGTTGTAATTCTATTTTAGTTTATAAAGAATTTTGATTTTTGAGGCTATAAATAAACATTAATTTAATTCTTTTTTTTCACAGGAGATTAGGACGGAAATCCTGTAATGATTGATGAAGCTGGAGATCTTGGAGTTAATACCATTGGTGTATGCATTTAAGTATTTTTATTAGAAAAATTGCTTTTTTTATGTAGAGATTCAAATATTCCTGTCTATCTAGAGAACTTTTATCTTTCGTAAGACATTATTTTCTATTGTTTCATTAAAAAGGATTCAAAATAGCTAAGCTTAATTCTACTCTATGAATTAATAGGTGATTGTTTATTCACAGATACTTACTCTTCAAAGACTAAACTACTTAAGGTTGGTCTGTGAACAAACGATTTTATCATTATATCATCTCTAAGAATTTATATTTCTTCTATTATATTTTCGTTGCTAGTACTATTTTTTGGGGAATTGAGATATTAAGGGAATAATAAAGTTTATTGTTTTCGTATTGATCTTTTAAATTTGTTAATAGCAGACTCTTGCTCTCTCTTTAATTAATTAATTTAAACACCATAATTCATTGTTTCCTTTTAGAATACGGATTACTTACCACATTAAGAACAATCACAACTTTTTCTTTTCTATACTTCTTTTACTTAATCTTCATCTTTTTAATTGTTAAAAATCACTGATGGGCTTGGTTCATTAGAAACATGTTCTGATAATTTTAGTGTATTTCTCCCAGTTCTTATTTTCGATAATCTTGTTGGTGATTAAGATTCTTTTATACTATGCTATTATTATTGACTTCTGAACATTTGTGGAGGTATAAATATCTTCCCAAAAAATTTCATATTATGAGGAGCACTTAGGCTTCTTTCAAACTTAGCTACAATAATATTCTTTAGTTTAATGTTATTTTTTTTTATTACTAATCTAGCCTTTCTTGTTAATCCAGATGTTTATGAGATGTTATGCACGGAAAAATAAGGCCTTCTAAAATTATTATTTTACATTTATTTCCTTGTTTTTATATATTAAAATATGATTTAGTTCCAAATAGAAACTATTCTAATGAGGCAAGGGATTTGCAGATGATATTCTAAAAATAAGCAATGAAATATAAGTTTTTTTGGAGAAAATCGATACATTCATATCTTTATAAATGATGCAATGATATTAATTTAGAATTTTATTCTTAATTACAAATAAATTTAATTACTGATTTAGAGAATTTTATAATATAAAAAGAATGATCTTTCTAATGACCATCATTCAAAGTATTTCATATAACAAATTCTTAGAATACTAATTCATTTATCTTATAAAATTAATGAATCCTTCAAAATAAAAAAATCAATAAGATACTTCTAATTTCTATAAGCTAAAATAAAAAATATGGAATTACCTGTTAAAAGAATTGAAAACAAACTATCGTAACTTGATATATAAAATTAAAATTAAAAAAAAAATAAGTCTTATAAATTAGGCTTTTTCTGTAGCAACTTTCTCTGTTATAGTCAATTGATGGTTGTTACAATTCAAATGGGTAAGGAGTTTTTGACTGTTAAAGGATAACTAATAATTAAAAAATTTTAATTTTTGCAGGAATAAAAAGTTTAATATAAAAAGACCCTTTAGCATTTATCATAATTTAGGATCTTAAGATTAATACAATTAATTATTTTAAACTAAATTAGATATCAATAATCAGATTTTAAAGTCATCCTCGTCTCCTGTTGAACCTCTTGGAATAGCTATATTTTAAGGAGTTTTTGGAATTCCATATAAATAAACAGGTGAATATTAATCTAAATCATCATCTTAGCCACTAATCTAATTGACTTAAGGATTTTGTAACAATTATTAAAACATAAGTTGTTATTGCTAATGTTATTACAAAAGTTTTGAGAAGAGTTAAGGGTCTAATTTTTAGGCAATTGGTTGCTAAAACTATGGAGTTTAACTTATTTTTTTTGGTTTTGCAATTTTTTTTGATAGTTCCTTTGGCTTAGGTGCTGGTTTAACTTTAGATTATTCTTTTTTTGCTTCTTGTTATTGCTGTCTATAATTTTTAACGATTATAAATGGCTCATTCAAATTGGAAGTCATTTTATTTAATTGTTATTATAATTATTTTACTCTAATTTGATTTAATACCTTTATATAATATTAATATCAACTATTTGAATCTAAGAAAGGAATTTATACATTCTAGAAATCTGTATAGAACTCTTAAACTAATGTGAAAGATTAGAATGACTATAATTATTATTATAAATATTATAAAAGGATTAGTTGGAGGTATTTTTTAAAATACTCTAATCTTTTTAGACTTTATCTGACAAGTTTAAAATTATATTATAGTTTATGATACTGGTATTTGAAAATATTATGAGAACTGTACTATTTTGAAGATTGCATTCATCCTTCTAATTTTTAATCTTCCATCATAGAATATCTGAAATCTGTGACAAAAAGTTATTTTATACATTAAATTAACTTATTGTTTAGCACATTTTATACACAAGCTTTCTAATATTCTTTTCATTTGACTCAATTTTTTAATTTAAACTACTTATGTTTCTATCTTTTTTTTGTTCACTTATTTCATATTCATTTATCATCTTATATTAGGATTGAAAACAAAACTTTTAATCCTTATATTACTATTTATGGTTTTGACTGCTATAATCTGTACTCCTTCTAAAAACATGATTTCATTGAAACTTGAACAATTTTAATGGTTTGAAAAAATAAGTTAATCATTTTTCCATTATTATTTTTTGATTTTTAAACTTTCCTGAATTTTCCAATATAATTAATATCAACTTATTTGCATTCTTATTGGACATTTTTTACAAACTCATCTAAATAAATATTGAATAATGGAGGGAATATAGGAGAACCCTAAACTACACCATTTTTAAACCAATATTTATCCAATTTATTTACTGGATCTTAATCCATAAACATTTTTGTGAAGATTTTGAAGGAAGATTATTTCATTTTCTTCTAAAATTTCATTATCTTGTAATATTTAATAGAGTTTATCTCTATCTATAGTATTATATGCACTCTTGAAATCAATTAATAGCAAACCTATTTTATCACTTTTACTGTGTATATTTATCAGATTACAAATCTTCTATATTTTTATTTATGTAATTCTACCCTTTATGAACCCACTTTAATAGTGGCTTAATTTAATTTGATTTTAAGCATTTAATTTATCAAAAAATCTGAATTCTATAAATTTATAGAGTGAACTTAATACAACAATTAGTCTAAATTAAGTATCTTTAGGTATTAATGGATATACTTTATTGATTGGTATAATTCTTGTTTCACACAGAGAAATATTTTATTATAAAGTGTTGTTATTCTAAAGATCTTTAAGCAAATCAATATTTTGTGTATTTTTTATAAAGGTATCTGATATTCCATCTTTCGAAATGGCTTTATTTTTTGACATCTTTTTTTATTAAATTTTTTATTTCTTGGTATGTTGGTGGTTTTAATTGATTTAATCTACAATATTCGTCTTATTATCTGTTAGAAAGAAGGCTTAATTAATCTAGACAATTTTTTATTGTATTATTATTATTAATTAAATAATTCAAAATAAGTATATACTATTTAATAGTACTGTAATCACCAAAAAAGAGCTATTTATAAAGCCTATAAGAATGGAAAGATTGGAGAAAGAATTGCTCTGAAGAGAAGGTCAAGCATAAGTGTAATACCCCTAAATAGGTCATAATTATGCCGATAATACATATAAAAATGGGAAAATAAGTTAAAGTAGTTAACTATTGGAACAGATCTCAGTATAGCAGCTAATAGGGATGATGTAACTGATTGATAGAAGACTAGTATAGGAAATTTCGGGTACTTCTAAACCTTCTCAAATAGTTAAACCATTTGAGCTTAATTAAAAGGATAATTGAGAAAAAAGAATAAATATGGGATATGTAGATTCCAAAAGCCATTCTTTCAAATAAGCCCTCTTTTATATAATTTGAATTGGAATTAGAAAAATAGATTAATTAACTTTTAATAGAGCTGGAGAATTTTGAAAAAGAAAAATGCAATACCAGAAAAGAAGGGTAAATGATTAACGAATTGTACTATTATTTATTATTATAAATATTTTTATAATAAAAATAAAGCGAAAAATTTGATTATGCATATGTCAACAACTGGAATATAAAGGAAGAGGTGTTATAAAGAAAACAAGAAACATTGCATTGAATTTGTTAAAACATTTAAACTATGAATTCACTGTATTTAGCCTAAAGAGAGAAAAATTTGGATTTCAAATTAAATAAACAGATTTAGATTTGAATTAAATTTTTACTTTATATAGGTCGTATAAATTAGTGCAGAAAAGCTAGAACTTATAAAATAAAATTAAACTAGATAAGTTGCAACTATTAAACTACCCTGAATGTAACTAAATTTTAGTTAATTATAAATATGGATTAATGACCTAAGATGGAGACTTAAGCTAAGTAACCTACAGGCAGCTTATTGAAATAACTAGGCCCTTGTAAATAGGGAATAATATAAAGGGAAATAAAAAGAATAGTGACTCTAGCAAGATTCCCCCTGCATAGCCCTTAGTTTGTAGTCAATGTTTAATATAATAAAAAAATATAAGATCATCTAGTATTCACTTGTAAAAGGTCCATAATGAGTAAGTTCGAGTAGGTTATCCCCCTACTATATAAGGAAGATCTTTTGCAATAACTGTGCCTCTTACAGTAAACCTTTCTAATAAGTTTGACCAACTTTTATAGCCAATAGAGACAAAGAAAAAGTAATCTCATTAGACCAATTCAAATAGATTCGAAGATGATTGAAGAAATACCTTAGAGCAAAATAGTCAGTGGCCGAAAGGCTCACATTACTAGTTAAACTAGTTTCTTAATCCGGATCCACCGAACAGGAAAAAGAGAAGAGGGAAAAGGTTTTGTTTTCATTTTAATATATATTATTATTTTTTTATTACTTATCTAAAAACAAAACGAAACTATCAAGAAAATAATAATAAGTCAAATAATAACTTAACCTTGATTTTATAAAGGGAATAATCAATGTATTTTAAGTAATATTCAACAATTATTTCATAGTATACATCAAATTAAAACTGTTGAAAATGAGTTGATGTAATAGAGATAAGTAAAACATTTTTATTGTGAAATTTATAAGCAGCTCTAGCAAAATGTATTTTAGAGAGTTATCTCTTTGCAACTCTCCTAAACATTTTAATGTAGTTCAGCTAAGGGTTATATGGAGAAGGATTAAATGCTTAAATAATGATATTTGCCTCAGAATTTATTATTTCTGGTGGATTGAGGATGATTCAGCACTAAGCAATAATTATATTGCAAAAGCAACCTTAAGAGTTCATACATCTATCGATTTTTCTTTGATAATATACATTCAAAAGCAATAAAAAATCATCACAAACGATAGCGCCAAATACAAATTTACTTTTGATGAATTCGAGTTTATGAAACAATAGATAGCTATTCTATTTTTTGCCAGTTCCAGCTTCTAAGCTCTCCCAAAAATAAATTCATTAATCTAGAATAATTTTTAATTTGAACTTAGAAGAGGAGTTGATTATTTTTTAATCCAAATCTTGTATCTAAAGAGCATTTTGCTTAATATTTAAAATTAACTTAACTAAATAAGCGGTAACTATATAATAACACTGCATAAACCATTTTAAAATCTAATAAAATCGCTGTTGTTATTGATTGATATACAAATTTACAATGAATTCTTAATATATTTGTTTTGCTTTTCTCCTTTTTGCAAAATCGCTAATCATCAAATGAAAAAGCAAATTTTGTCTCAGCATGATCTAGAATTTTGCTTTTATAAATATTTAGCACTTCCAATTGAAATTCCTTATTATCCAGTAAAAATTGCATGTTTTATTGAATTTTCAAATTCTGAAGCAGTATTCTTTAACATGAAAGTTTGTTAAAATTAAAATACCTAGTTCTCATAGTTTTGGTTAATTTTTTCCCTTTTTATTTATAATTGTTGCTGTATAATTTTAAGTGCATCATCTAAAGTAATCAAAATAAATTTGCATTACTTAGCTTTAGCACAAAATATAATATTATATGAAAAATAGTACACAAAAATCCCAGAAGTTAGAATATTTATTAAAAGAATTACTATAAATAATTTTATTTCAAAAGTGCTTTTAATTAGAATTGGCTCAATTTTTACTTAACTTTTACCAAATCAAAATACACTTTAATTTTGCAACTCAGATTAAATGACTGCTCAAATTGTTTTTCTAACAGAAAGAATACTTAATTTTTCTTAATTTAATTCCTTTTTAAAGATACAAATTAAAAAAAATAATTACAATATTAACATGGTTTTATGTGAATACTTTTGAGCTTTGAATAATTCTAAAACATAAATTTTATTTTATTTAAACTCTTTTGAAAATTCAGGCAATTGACATTTCATTTTCTAATGAAAATAAATTATCACTAGTACAACATTAGCTTAATTTTTATTTCCGTTTTTAGGAATCCTAATTAAATATCTAACATTTTTTATTTAAATATTCTTGGAAATATTGTGATGAAAATATGTAGAGAGTTAGTTATAAATAGATATTTTTTTTGGATCATCTTTACTACTGGATATTATTACAATATATTAGCCTCCATAAATTTTTAAAGGGATTTAGTATATTATTATTAATAAATTAGTCCAACGAACCTAGATATATAATACGATTAAGTAGAAGAACTATTGATCATATGTGTTAAATTTTATTTCAAATACTCCTATTAAATTTAATCCTAATTTTGTTTTAATAATAATAAAGATCTTTATTGTCGGTTTTGGTGTTGGGATTAACTGCCTGAGTTTGTCGTCTTTAGTAAATTATTGTCTTTAGTGAATTTCGAATGTGGGGAAGGAACTCTTCCTACTTTTGATGGATAAGAGAAGGAGATTTTTATCTCTCCCTGGTTTCCTTAATGAACAAAATCATATCCTTTTATGAATAATTTCTTTCATGAAATAAATTGAGATTGTCTTGCAACAATTAGAGGAAAAATGAGAATGTTTGTGATATTTATTATAAAAATGGTTATAATTCATACTCCTTTAAGTTTAAGAGCTCGAAGAAGTCCTCTTCCTCTCGATCTCTCACTTCAGTGAACAATTTTTTATATTTTTTAAATAATGAGCATTTTTTACCCTCTTGCCTGTTATTATTGCTCTTCTCATTGATTAAATCTTCTTATTTCATTCTCAGTGCTCCACTTGGAATTCAATCGATAAAAAATATAAATTAATGCTTCTTTTATAGATGACCAAATCATTTATTTGGAGAAACCTTTTGAAAAAGAAGAAATAATTTATGAGTCCTAAATTTTTTTTACTTTTGAATTTTATCTCTAGCCTAAAATAAACAATCCTTATTAATAAATATATTATTGATTGCTCACTTAGGTTCCTATTTAAATAATTAAATAATTGATATTTTTTCAATTACAAATTGAGTTTGCTCCTTTAGAGTAATTAGGTTTCTGGCTTTTTGATCACCATTTGCATAAGACCAAAAATCTTATTGATCAAAAGAATGAGTAAAATAAATAGGACTCTAATTATTAGATATTTTAAATGTTCTCACAAATTTAAAAAAGATAATTAAATCTATAATTAGAGCAATTATAAAAAATTTAATAGCTGTAAAAGAAAAGGTAAGATAGCGAGAGGAGGAAATATTTCTTAAACCTCTTGAACTTTGGAGTAGCAGTATGAATTATTCTCATTTCATCAATAAATTTATATATAATCTCTCATCTTTCTTTTAGTATTAAGATAAGATCTTAACTTCAAAAGCCTAGGTCAATAAAAATTATTTTTGCAGGCAAATTATCAATTCATTCTTCTGCTAATTATAAATAAAAAAAATTCTTTATTTATTTTTTCTTGAAAAATATTTTATGCAATTACTTTAGGAACATCTTAGAGTTAATTAAGTTTGGTATACACTTCTCTAATATCTCAAACATTATTATATTGATAATAATGTATCTTATATTTTGGATAAATTTACAGAGATGAAAACTAGTTAATCTATTTTAAGAGTGGATGTACAATTGATATCCATTATCCAAAAATATTTACAACAAAAACCCTCAAAATTAATATAAGATTTATCAAATTTAATATATTAATTTATATATTACACCAAATAAATAATCAACATATAAATAAAATTTGAGTTTTATTAATCTTACCTCATAATATTTATTCTTTTAACTTAATTTAAATAATAAATAATATATATTATATGAAACAAGAGAAAAATATTATAGTTTTCACTCAACAAGACTTTTAGTCTAATTTCTTAGTGAACCCGAATCCTCCTTTAGGTTCAGGTCACGATGCCAAAGTTTACTTGGCAATGCATAAACGTACTGGTGAAATGTTTGCCCTCAAAGTGCTTACATCTATAACACCAGATCATCTCAACAATCTCTAGGTTTTTATTTTGTATTTATTTAGTGAACGAAATCAAAATTCTTAAATTAATAGATCATCCCGGTATTGTTCAAATAAAAGGTCATGCTCAAGATTATACATGTGTTTTGTTGGAGTATATGCCTCATGACACATTTCTTAGAATATTGAAAAAAGGACCATTCCATATATCTCTTTCAAAAACACTTGCTAGCCATTTAATTCATATTTTAGCAACTCTACATAATCATTAGATTGCTCATTGTGACATTAAGCCAGAGAATATATTGATTGCTGCAGATTATAAAGTGAAATTATGTGATTTTGGCTTTGCTCGAATTACCTAATAGTTATCAAGACCTCCTGGAGGAACACCTGGATATACAGCACCAGAAATTTATAAAGGAAATAATTTAGATTTATTTAAATGTGACATTTTTGCCCTAGGAGTAGTAATATTCATTATAGTGATGGGATTTCCTCCATTTTAGAGCAATGATCCAACTTTGAGAGACTAATGGTGGAATATGATACTTAATAAATAATATGACATTTTTTGGAAGAAATGCGAGTAATATCGATAGCAAAAGTATCCCTTAGAATTTAAAGATATGATTATGCAAATGTTAGAGCCTGATCCTGATAAAAGAATTAATATTACTTAATTAAGTCAGCATTCTTTTTTATAAAATGGTGCATCAATTGAATAAATAGTTTAGGAACTTCAAAAGAGAGTCAAAAAGTGATTAATATTTATCTAAATCATTATACATTATATATTTAAAGATGAATATATCCTTTATTCAAGTAATTCTTACAGACAGAATATCTCTAATTTAGTAATATTTTAATTAATTATTATTAATTATAATTTTTAAGGCAGGCACAGATTAAAATAAAATATCTCGTGTGTTTTAAAAAAATTAACTAAATCATCATGTTGGGTTGAAGAGATTTTGGGCTTTTTTGATTATAAACTAAGAGAATCATAAGCACTATATNCACCAAATAAATAATCAACATATAAATAAAATTTGAGTTTTATTAATCTTACCTCATAATATTTATTCTTTTAACTTAATTTAAATAATAAATAATATATATTATATGAAACAAGAGAAAAATATTATAGTTTTCACTCAACAAGACTTTTAGTCTAATTTCTTAGTGAACCCGAATCCTCCTTTAGGTTCAGGTCACGATGCCAAAGTTTACTTGGCAATGCATAAACGTACTGGTGAAATGTTTGCCCTCAAAGTGCTTACATCTATAACACCAGATCATCTCAACAATCTCTAGGTTTTTATTTTGTATTTATTTAGTGAACGAAATCAAAATTCTTAAATTAATAGATCATCCCGGTATTGTTCAAATAAAAGGTCATGCTCAAGATTATACATGTGTTTTGTTGGAGTATATGCCTCATGACACATTTCTTAGAATATTGAAAAAAGGACCATTCCATATATCTCTTTCAAAAACACTTGCTAGCCATTTAATTCATATTTTAGCAACTCTACATAATCATTAGATTGCTCATTGTGACATTAAGCCAGAGAATATATTGATTGCTGCAGATTATAAAGTGAAATTATGTGATTTTGGCTTTGCTCGAATTACCTAATAGTTATCAAGACCTCCTGGAGGAACACCTGGATATACAGCACCAGAAATTTATAAAGGAAATAATTTAGATTTATTTAAATGTGACATTTTTGCCCTAGGAGTAGTAATATTCATTATAGTGATGGGATTTCCTCCATTTTAGAGCAATGATCCAACTTTGAGAGACTAATGGTGGAATATGATACTTAATAAATAATATGACATTTTTTGGAAGAAATGCGAGTAATATCGATAGCAAAAGTATCCCTTAGAATTTAAAGATATGATTATGCAAATGTTAGAGCCTGATCCTGATAAAAGAATTAATATTACTTAATTAAGTCAGCATTCTTTTTTATAAAATGGTGCATCAATTGAATAAATAGTTTAGGAACTTCAAAAGAGAGTCAAAAAGTGATTAATATTTATCTAAATCATTATACATTATATATTTAAAGATGAATATATCCTTTATTCAAGTAATTCTTACAGACAGAATATCTCTAATTTAGTAATATTTTAATTAATTATTATTAATTATAATTTTTAAGGCAGGCACAGATTAAAATAAAATATCTCGTGTGTTTTAAAAAAATTAACTAAATCATCATGTTGGGTTGAAGAGATTTTGGGCTTTTTTGATTATAAACTAAGAGAATCATAAGCACTATATGTTTAAACATTTAGATTAAATTAATCCTGCAGTTAAAGTTGAAAATAACTTTGATCATTTCTTAAATTTGCTTGATTAAAATTCAATAATGAGATCTATTAAAATCTTATCTAATGATAAATTTATCAATTTTTAATTCTTTTTGTTCATTCTGATTTTTTTATAAGATTTTTAATTGGATAATTTCTTTTTATATTTATACTTTTTTATGAAATTATATAATCAGTCAACAATAAATTCATAATAACTTTTATTTCTTGATTAAGATTATAAAATTAAAAAGTATTGTGTATATTTAGATGATATTTTATTAAAATACAATAATTATTTATATTTTTATTTTTATAAATTTATTGATATCATTTCATCTAATTATATGCTTAGTTTAAATTAATTAAATGATATCTTTTGGTTATACTTATTGATTTTATTAAGATAGCTCTTTAAATTATTCTTAAAAACTTTGAGGTTGAAAAGAATAATTGATGTCTACACAAAAATAAACTAATTTCTTAAATTAATTTAATTCATCTAATTATTCTTGATTTTTAGTTATTTATTAATTTATTTGATTATTAATTATTTATTTAATTATAAATTAGAGTAGTGTTTAGAGAGCCTCTAAATAAACATTCGAATAGAATTCCAATTAATTCAAAATCATATTCTTATTTTGATCTTTATCATCTTTTAATGATTTCTTTATTATTTCAGGAAGTGGAGGATCTTAATCTAATTTTATCTATTAAAAATCCTTTATTAATTCAGTTACTAATTTTTCCAAATATGAGTTAATTAGATCAGATTTGAATAAATCATTTTAATGTTGCTCCTTAAAGGTTGACCAATTTTGATCTGATTTATTTTTAAAAAAATCTGATTTCAAATAATTATTAAATTCCCATAAAATAAGATAATGCATTTTTTTAATAATATATGCATATAACTTTTCAAAGGGATGGTTGTATTTTTTAAAAGTAGTTTAAATTATATCAACTGTATAAGCTAATATATAGCATCTCAAACAATCTAATTAAATTTATAACCAATAGTCTTAAAAACTTGGGTTTGAAAATTAAGGTTTGTTCATAATAATATTCAAATAATTAGGACAGTTTAAGCTAATTTAATCAATAGTTGTTTCTGTTATTTGTATTTTTTTTTTAGTATCTGGTGGGTTTAAATTTGTAGAGCCTGGTTTAAAATCTAAAGTAATAAATACATCATTTAATGGATCTTTAATCTATTCAAATTTCTTATAAAATTCAATACATTAATATACTCCTTCAATATTAAGTTCTTAAATGTATTTATGTTGATAAATTTCATAAAATGATAATCTTTTGTTTGGATCACAAGTAAGTAAAGATTAGACAAAAGAGAGTAAAGATTCTTTGTATCTTTAAGTCTAACAAGGAATAAACTAAATCTTTGATAAATATTCATAAAATTTTTCTTTTTTATCATATTTAAATCGTTCATAAGTATTTTTACTTACTTCAATCTAATTTATTGATTTGAATTTTATTAAATGATACAAAAATGCTCCAACTAACCAAGAATCAAATTTTAAATCAAACTTATTATTTTTTTATTCTTAAATATATAAAAATAATACTTTAATTAATTATTTCTTCTAAATATTCAGGTGGTGCCAATATATCTAATTAATCTTATTAAATATCTGGTTCAAATCCAAAATCCATTAAAACAAGCCTATCATTTGGTTAAATAACTAATATATTATAAACTGAAAAAACTCTTCCAGGTATCTAATTTTTATGTAATTCATATAAGGCTAATAGCAATTATTTAATATATTAATTAATTTCTGGATTTTCAAAAGATTTTTTATTTTTTCCATAATCCAACACTTTTTAATCTAAAAATTAACTTCCTTCATGATAATCAAATAAATATAATTCTTATTCAATTTATTAATTCTTTAAAAGCATCTTTTAATATTTTCTAAATAAATGCTAATATTTTGATTTTTAAAGAATTTTTGTTTATTGAATTAATGATTTTTCAATAATCTCTTTTTACTAAAATTAAAATGCATAGTATTTGATTGAAGTATTATAGCTTTTCTCTTCAATTAAAAATACTTTTCCTGAACTGGTTGTCAATGCCTAATATAGGATTGTGATTGAATAATTCATTTAATATTATTTATAAATTATTTTATTATAAATATAATTTTCAATCTAATTGGTATTTTTATATATTCTATTAATTTATATCTTCGAAAATGTTTCTTTTATTAGGTAATTTCCATTTATCAGTAAGCTTGATTATTATTTAATATAATTTAATATTATTAGAGGATATTTGGGAATAACACTATATATTGATTAGTTTGAAAAATAGGAAATATATCAAAGAATATGATATCTGATTTATAAATGGATAATGTATATGTTAAATAAATAATAAGAAAGAAATAAATAAATTAAATAAAAAAATTAAAAATATTGTTATATTCAACATATTTACTAATTTATTATGTATATAATTATTCTCAAATATTTTATTTATTGAACCAATATCTTCCTTCACCATCAAACTTAAGAATATACTCATGAAATTTAAATAATGATTATCTGTGTGATACTGTAAACAAAGTTATATTTAATGCTTTGGCTTTATTATACATTATTGCTTCAATGTCCATGCTAACAGAAGATGTGCATTCATCTATTAAATGATATTAAAAATAATACCTAAAATAGCATATTATGGTTTATGATAGAATAATCTAGCCATGGCAATTCGTTGTTTTTCTCCTCCACTTAAGACATCATTCCAATCATTTGCTGCATCCAATCCTCTCTCTCTATAGACTAAGTATTCTAACTAAACATCTTCTAATAATTTGATTAGATCTTAATCATTTATCTTTCTTCTTAACATCTATAATTTAGTATGAGGATAAATGATTTAATCTCTCAAAGTTCCAGGAGGTAAATAGGGTCTTTGAGGAATGTAAAATAACTTATCAATTGCAGGTCTATACAATGTACCGCCTTAAACTGGCCATAGAGCTCCCAAAATTCTAAAAAGAGATGATTTCCCACAACCATTAGGTCCACTAATAATAACATTCATTCCAGGTGTGATTTTAAAAGACATACCCTTAATTAGAGTATCACCATTTGGAGAAATAATAGGTACATTATCAAATTCAATAATATCTTAGGTTTGAACAATCTAAAATAAACAAAAATTTATTTACCTAACCTTTATCTAATTAAATTGTTTAATGCTTTCCTTAATCAATTACTACTTATCCTGTTTCATTTTCTTATTATACCTAAGTTCTTTTATAATATCCAGAAGATAAATCAGATAAAACTTCTTTTATTTCATATACAACTCTAGTATATCCTGCCAATTATTATATTTCTTTATAACTGACAACTAATCTTCCAATAGCTTTAGCCAAATTAATTAAAAGTGAACTATTAC